ACACAGACAACCTCTCGTCAATATGTGTTTTTCGCATTGCATTGCTGCAAAAAACGCATAATAAAAGGAATGAAAGAGCTTCTAGAACAGCAGTGACAGTTGAAACGAAAACAACTGTTCACTAGTAAAATCAAATTCCTGAAAGGTGGGCGCTGGCGACTAAATTAACTCCGGCTGCAAACGCACCAAGGCCGCTAATAACAACAATGGTTCCTGAGTTGTAGTTTAGCAAATGAATTCATACTGGCTGCGTTAGGCCTTTTCTTGCGCGCAGGAGTAAAGGGCGCCGGCTGGGACGAAGGACATGCAGTGTGAGGCAGTGAGGACCTCCAACATGTATGATCATTGGTTTTTTGCATGAAGCCCAGTTATTTTTCCGCTGAATGGTCGCTCATTGAAAGCATTCACGACTCGCCCGTGTGACCATGCGTTTTTGCAGTATTTCGTACAGTACTGAAATCGCTCGGAATCTTACTAGCTAGAATTTCTGATGAACTGGTTCAGGAAATGAAACTAAGTGGTACTTGGGCAGGGAGCTAAATTAAGTCCACACTCCTTCAATGTTTCAGTTTTCTATTTTGTCTGCTTTGCGAAAGAAATTTGCATACTTTCCCAGGAATCCATGCGCGAGATCCAGGCGTAATAAGCGAGGATTTTAAAACGGGAGGATGATGCGTAGGCTAGGAACATGACCCCAAACTTCCTAGTTTAAAATAGGTAACAAAGTTCACTCGCTCCCGAACACAAACACATACACACACACGACCTCTCGACAATATGCGCTTTTACTCCCACGCCGTCAATAGTATGCTACTATAAAATAAAACTACCTGATTATTTGGTAGTACTGGCTGCTGCGTAATGAGTGGAGCAAACTGCTGTTGGCCGGGTTGCAGCTGATCCGCTGGAGTTACTGCCAGCGCCGCGTGACTGACTAACAAAAGCACAAGCCGCATTCAGTAATTTTGAAAAACAGATTAAAATTCAAAATTGGAACAGGGGTGGGCTTGAGCACGTAAAATATAGCTTTAGTACTGAGGCACATGATATTTTGAGGCCTTGACCAGCTGTTGCTTCTTCATCGCGTTTCTTGCTACTGGTGCAACTTTGGGGACTGTTCAAATTGATCCTTCTAATGCATTGGCGGCTTCCCTTACTTTCCTCAAAAACTATGTAAGTATGGCTCTGTAATACTCTATGTCCACCTAGTGCCTCTCATTCTTGCCACATGACCCAGAACCACTCTTCTTCCTGGCATGCACTGTCGTGATAATTTCGCTCATAGCAGACCGAAATGCAGTACTTCGTTGGAACGTAATGCAGCAGCTTGCTGATGGCTTGTTTAATCATGGTCAACTTTTCCTCCTGAGTAAGAATAACACTCCATGTTCGTTTGGTGACAAGGTTCTTGCCGCTTTCACAGAGGATAATACGTTAAAGTATAAAACCGAGACAACAATGTGCATCGGACTTTTTGCACGAATCCTGGAGCAGTAAGATCATTAACAGTATAAAAGTCTGTTACATTACAGCTTAATATGTAAGCTGTAGCAGTTGGTAATGTTTTCGTCTTTTCTATCATGCAAGGGAAAACGGGCATCAGCTAGAACGGTGATATAGCACCGTGATGCGAGTGAAATCTTAATTTCCAGCACTTTTAGAACCTATGACCGCCATGAATCATGGTTCAGTTGGCGAAGCGAACGCTTAAGTCTGCCGTATCCGTAAGCGAGATTTAGACGTTTATAAAAACTGATTTTACTCTCTCAGCTGATTTCATCCTTTCTTTCTCTTTCTTCTTCTGCTTAGCTCCATTCTCGGCATTCTGTTCATCTGTATTTCTTCTGTCAAATATGGCTACCCACAAGCTCAATCTGCTGTTTCTCGAGTCTCATGTCGAACTAAGAGCAGCATGCATGCTTCATTCACTTGGTTCCTCCTTCGCGGACTTGGAATCCAGTCGTACTTTGTTTTGATTTTAAGCTCATTTAAAAGATTTCGCAGCGTTTGTGGGCTTTCCGCAACGAGCAGCGCTTTTTCTTCGCAGGTGATCATTTGGGATATCTCATCGTCGATACAAAAGTCTTCTGCTGTTTCAATTTTTTGTAAAAAGTTTTTCAGGTGTGCTCGCTAAAGCTTCCAAGTGACAAACATCACACTGCTTCGTGTCGCTGTCAGTTCTCATTTTTATGAGCTCGCCAAAGAAAGTAATTTCTGAGGCAGCGACAGGGCCTGTAATCTGTTTCGGCATTTTTGGTTTGAAGAAATCTGCAGTATATCGTTTTGTTTTACAGAGTCGAAAACCTTCTTGAAAATGGCGATAATGGATTTATTTGTTCTCTGCACCTTTCTTTCAGTTGTTTTACTGTGAAAATACAACGAAGTCTACGCATTATGAATTATTAGTTGAGAGACAGACATCGTAAAATAACTTGAATGCAGTGGTTATCTTTATGAAAACAAACACAGGCGAATCCAGGGCGGT